CCCACCTTGTTGCCTCTCTGGGCCAAGCCAACAGATCACCTACTAAACACATCCTCTCCCTGAGGATGGAAATTCCTCCAGTCCTCTCATAACAAGCACAGCAAGCTCCAGATGTACCACCAGGCAAGTCCCTTTCAGACACACTCATAGAACATGCTCTAAGACATTCCCCATCTCTGGATATGCCCTTCCAGACATTATTTTTAGCCTCATGCAGAGGAACTGGAACTCCTATGAGGACTTCAGTTTTAAAGAAAGAGGAAGAAGCTGGGGGATGGTGGCACTTGCCTTTAATTCCAGCACTTGGGAGGCTGAGGCAGGTGGATATCTGTGAGTTTAAAGCCTGCCTGGTGTAGAGAGAGTGAGATCCAGGAAAGACACAAAGCTACACAGAGAAACCCTGTCTCAGAAAAAAGGCAGAATGGAGAGTGTGTGGCCACTAAACCGGAGAGCTGCTCTAAGATCAAGGCCAGTGCAGACAGAAGGACAGCTCATCCACTGCATCCATAGGCTGTGGAAGAGGAGAACTGGACCTCCAGAGCAGGAATAATACAGGAGCTAGGAACCCAAAGCCAAATCTGGCAAGGTAGACAGACCCAGAGCCCTTCAAAGAGATCTCAGCTGAAGGAGAAAACATGGCCAGCACACATACTAACTTAGAAGGTTTGGGTGGACCTAATGAAACCCTCTCCCTAGACCAAATACTACTGGAAACTAATGACTGTTGAGGGGGGGGGATTTTTTCCCCAAGGATAATTCCCCTAGTTGGTTATTCAAAAAAAAAGTGGTCTGCCATGGAATCATATAAAGAGAAGAAATACCCAGTGAACTCAGTATCTCATATATATTTACGTGCATATATATATATATATATATATATATATATATATATATATATATGCAATAGTAATAGCAAAAGATAAACAACTAATTTAATACAGAGTAAGTGAGGGTATGTAGCAGACTTTCTTTTGAGCAACCAACCTGCTCCCAAATCATGGCTCAGAGACTTTTTATTAGTTATGAATGTTTCCTATTGGGCTGGAGAGATGGCTCAGAGTTTAAGAGCACTGGCTGCTCTTCCAGATCCTGAGTTCAATTCCCAGCAACCACATGGTGGCTCACAATCATCTATTATGGCATCTGGTGCCCTCCTCTGGCCTGCAGGCAAACATGAAGGCAGAACACTGCATGCATAATACATGAATTATAAAAAAGAACGAATGAATGTTTCCTGTCACACGGATTATGACACAATATGTGTATTCTGTCCTATCTACCCACCCAAAACATGCACACCTGAGAAATCTCTGCAGATCAGAAATTCCCTTTGTCCCCTGGAAATAAACTTTACCATATCACACTATTGTGGCTGATGGTAGCAGAAAAATAGAAGCATTCAAATCACATATTGCTGAAAGATGATCCACATCACCATCTTTACTACCAGTTTCTAAATCATTTGTAACATTTGTAAGACAAACGAGAAAATGGAGTGCAATGTTCAGAACTTCTAGAAACTGGAATTTTCCAATATGTTTTCCTACTACACACAAAAGGCTTGCCTGTGTGTGCAACTAGACAGTGATATTTCAAGCATAATATTCTCCTTCAGAGTCTCCTCATACCCAGGAAATCCATACACCGGGAGTCTCAGAAGACAAGGAGTACTGCTCATATCACTACATGGATGAGCAGAACCACAGTCTGGCTCATGGACCATCCAAGTCCCAGCAGAAATGACAGCTCAGCAGACCTGTTCTGAACATGCTACACTCACCATGGCATGGCTTATGGATTTCGTTACAGCTCCCTAGAGCAGAAGCAGAGGAGAATCCTGGGAAGAACCTGGAAGCTACATCCTGCTGATGCTTCTGATATTTAACCCTCCCTGGAGTCCCTCATCAGCTAGCACAACTCAGCGAGGCTGCAGGACATTAACAGTTTCCCTACCAGACGAGAAGAGATCAAAGGACTCAGAGAGAAAAAAATCCTTCCAGGTAGTTCCTTCCACACTATGGTTGGATAGGACACCAGGGGATTTGGTAGTTTAGCAAAATCCTCCAATCTCCCAGAGCATTTCCTGTCCCTCTTCCAAGGCTCAGGGTCCTATGTGTGCACATTCCATTACACACTCAATGTCCAGTGCAGACAACCTTTTGCTTCATAGCTAGGAAGTCCTGCAACCAAACACAGGAAAAATTCAACCAGGAACTTGTTAAACAAAAAGAGGCAATGGATTAGAAAACAATGAAGGGTCTATGGGAGGGGTTGGAGGCAGGGCAGTGATAGATAATTATGTAAATATAATCTCAATTAATTCTGTTAAAAAGTTGAAACAGGCTTTATGGCCATGTGCTCCAATGACTAGTGATTTGTATTAAAGCACACCAAGTACTACTCACACCATTTCTCTTGGGGTATACTTTTTAAACCGGGAAAACACAGTCATGTTAGACCGGGACACACCATTTTTATCCAATTCTACTACTTAGGTTCAACTGGTGTAACTACTCTAATTTGGTTTCACAAACATTCAGTTCTTTATCCATACTGCTGATTGCCTGGGCATGGACCCAAGAAATGGCCAGTCAGAACATTTATTGATTCTGTAACATTGATTACTGCACTACTCACTACTAAGGACAACTACTATCACAGCAGGAAAGTTTTCACTCATTCTTGCTCATTCCTCTTTCTGCTCTGACTACACCTGCTTGACAGCTGGTCAGTGAACTCAATTCTTACACAAACCCTACTTCATTTGTAAATTCACAATAAAATCTAAAAAAGTTGGAGGATACTCATTCACTGGTCTATTTTTCCTTCCCACCGACCAGTCAAGGCCCAACCTGGAAGGAGTTGCAGGACTGTCTTAACAGCACTGGGAGACAGAGACAGGATTAAGTGTCCAAAGCAATCTCAATTATATAATGTAAGGCAAGCCTGAACTACAGGAGATATTGACCTGAACCAATGGTTCACAACCTTTCTAATGCTGTGACTCTTTAATATAGTTTCTCATGATGTGGTGACACCCAAACTAAAAAATTATTTTCACTGTTACTTCCTAACTGTATTTTTGTTCCTATTATGAATTATAATATAAATATCTGCACTTCCTGACAGTCTTTGGCCAGTCCTGTGATAGGGTCATTTGATCCCTTAAAGGGATCCATGACCTCCAAAGTTGAGAAGCATTGATATAAATAAATTCATAAACAAACATTAGGTAAAAATATTTAAACTGGGAAAAACAGAAAAAAACTATTAGTAATGCACTAAAAGAAAATGAATATTAAAAATAATACTGATAATTGATGTTTTAAAATGATAAAAACTATTGAAAGCATATGTGGCTATACTGACTTTGAAATGAAGTAGGCACCTCCATGGTACAGTGAATATCATTAATATGAGACTGTATGATTTTGTCCCATGTAAAATGTTAGCCACTGACTGCTATAAGCTAACAGAAAATGGCCTGGATCTCAGTCCTCTCAGCTGACTTAACTGTGTCAACCAGAATTGAATATATCTGCATAGGAGAGTTCCCTAATTGGAAACTGAATACTTAGTACTTCAAGCTATCCTTCATAAACTGTACACCAGCTAATAGTGTGTGACTTCATTCACATGGAAGGAATTAATACATGCAGGGAAATTACAGAGAAAGTCACTCACCACACCCCATCAACCCTTCTTTGTAATGGAGACCCTGCAGCTTACTGCACTCTACTTGAGTCTGTGATCAATCTATTGCCTAGTCTAATGCCCCCTGCTGTGTACTCAGTGTCCCATTCCCCTGCCTGCAGGCCCCACCCCTGTCTGCAGGCCAATTCCACTCTTCCTCCTCTTCTGGTCTGAAGGAAGAAGCCATTTTCCACACACATTTCCTTTCCCTGTTGTGCAGTGAACAATTCACTATGTGACTCAAACTGGTAATTTTAGAACTCTGTGGTGGTGCAGACATGTAAAACAAAATTTAGGGTGATGAGTCAGGAGATAATAAAGACAATGCTCTGTGGGACTACAGACAGGGTTCAAGTCTACCTCAACCAATGTAGGAGACCTTGACTTAAAACTGCTTTTCAAAAAGACTGGAAATGCCTCTGTTCTAAAATTAATATAACTCCATGGCATACCAGGACTTAATGTTGGTTGTAACCCTGTAATGGTCTCTTGAGGTGCATGGTAGAGGCCAGTTTTTCAATGGAAGGATGGGCCTTTCTACTGGTTGTAAACCAGGGTTGTCTCCCATGTTATGGAATATAGCTGGTTAACCTTGGGAGAAAAACATTTACATCTTATCATACTAAGGTCTAACAAGCATGGTTAGCATACTACTTATCTTTGGGGTATTTGTGATGCAGCCCTATCTTACCTAAATTCTACTTTGTGACTTAATGTCCCCTGAGAACTGTAAAGACCACATACCATCAATTTTGCTACCATCAATTCTACTCTTCTACATCACAGTTTAGCACGGGAGTGCAACTTTACACAGGAAATACTGTTTACAAGCTCCTAAAATTAATTCCGGTTGGATTCTAATTCTTAATGTTAAATATTCAAAGTGTAGAACTTCTGGAAGATAATGGAGAAACCAGGCCTCTTTGACTTTGGAAATCTGTGTTCCGTAGAAACAATACACGTGTGGTGCCAGCATTTCGCATTTATGTCAAAAAGGACATTTCAAAGCATAGTACTGCTCCCAATGCTTTTCACAGATGCAGCCAGCAGAGTGAATTTATTCAGTGGCAGCCAGCCGGCCTCAAGAATTGCAAAGACTATGCAAAACCATGCAGGACAACAAATATCTACACTGGAGCATGCAGGATGAGTGGGACCATGCTGGACAATGCATGACGAGGCAAGAATAAGCTGAACTCTACATTTGACCACTTGCTCCCACCCAGCAAGAAGAGGACCCAACACACTGACTCCCATGACTCAAAGGAGCATTCCTTTGAGTCCAGGGATGGCAGCCCCTCACTCACCATGTTGTGGTTTTCCAGCTTGGCCATGCTCTCTGCTCCGTTTCCTGCAGCAACACTCGAGCTGCACAGCAAACAAAACTAATGGAGACAGATTCTCTTCAAAGCCAATACTGAGGCAGGTAGCTGGAAGGACACTGCACAACTTCTGACTGGCAGGTAGCCTGGGGAGCCTAATTGTCTAGTGGGGCCTGACTGACTAGAGCATCCCCCACATTGTTACATTATGCTTAAAGACACAGCACAAACATTCCTTATCCTACCTTCCACCCTAGGCCCAGACTTTTTCTGAACCAGCAGAGATTTGCATTTCAATAGCACTTGCCCCTGGCTCCAATAGCCAACTATGTGATCTTCCTGCTCTCCATAGGCACTTCCTCTTCATTCTCATGGACACAATGTGGCTAGCTAGCTTGTGCAGCCCACTCTACTGTGTGAGGAGGAGTGATTTCCTGCCATTCATATGGAAGGGCACCCAGAACATTTACAACTAAAGAGAGATTTAAGCCCACAAAATGAGAAGTTTGTTAGTTGGCTTGGGCCCAAGCAGGTCTTGAAGGTACAAGAAAGCTACATGAAGAATTTGCCCAAATGCCTATGGTCCCTATTCCTGTTACAATGCCTTCTGCTGTCAAGTATGCACCTATAGGATCATGGGGTATTCACTGTGATTGGGTGACAGAGGAAGAGAAGACCTGGGTCAGTTGATGGTCCTGTACACTATGCAGGTACAACCCAGAAGTAGACAGTAGCAGCATTTCATCCCCATTTTTGGAAAGCCTAAAAGATATTGGTGAAGGGTGTAGGGGGCCCAAAAGAGCTTGACTACACAGCTGCCATGAAAGGATTAGGGAACCAGGTACTGCTGCCATGACAGGCTTACTGTTAGACAACAACTGGATCCATAAACTGACACCATTCAAGGATCCACCCAAAGATGGGACCAGCAACTAATGGAAAATACCTGACATTCCAAACATTACATAAGAATAGATCAGTATTGCCAGATGTCTGTGTGAGGGTGTCTGAAGCCCTAGACCTGGAGCTACTGAAAGTTGTGATCTACCATGAGGGTGCTAAGAATTAAATCCAGATATTCTAGAAGAGTAATCAGTGTTCTTTAACCACTGAGCCATCTTCCCAGCACGATCATTTAGTCCATTAACTACAATTCTAAGTGGTGGCTTTAGAACTTGAGTTTACTTTCTCCTTCCTTGGTGATTGGAACATTGATATTTGTGTTCCCCTGTTAATCATTAATTTATTTAATATTTGAATTTAATAGATTAATGAATACTAGATTGAATAAATAGGTAGCATTCCACTAAGTAACAAGTACCTATCAACTTGATCCAAACTGTTGTGCCCAGATCGTGACCCCCAGAGAGACCACCAAAGACGAGCATGCCGGAATGCAAAAGCAAGGTTTAATTCTGGATATCGAATACAAGCCTAGGCAGGGACTTCGTCCAATACATCCAATGCAGTGGAGGCTGAAGGAAGTGTCCACCTGTCCACAAGCTCAGTTTTTAAAGGGAAAAATCACAAGGCTACATCATTTAGGGGTGCTAGTACGGGTACAATTCTGATTGGCTCACTTCTAGGGGCTTCTAGAAATTACTTCTAAGGGAGTGGTTGCCCGCCATCATTTCTCATTGGCTGCCCTCAGGTGGGGGCATTTTTATGGTCAGTTACCCTGGAAACCAGGGAGAGGACATTCCATAGTCTGGCAGGCATTACCTCGTGACTACCTTGTGACTCTGTACTTTTATACTTCCTGGTTTCTGGAATCTGAACTGACTTGTTTCAGTAACTATTGGCCTATTCCTAGAAGGAGAAATCTTAGGCCTTAGTTTTTGGGTGAAGGCATTTTGGTCTTATTTCTAAGATGGCTCATTTTGGTCTCACAAAACAAATAACCTAATCTTGCCGTGTATCTTAGGGCTATTATTATTTCATAAATTTTTCATCAGAAATAACATCCAACCTGATGTTTCACTGTTTCCATGTTCTTTAGCTTTATATGATATTGAAGGTATTTTCTGCAAATGTATATGACCTGGTACTGAAGTATTTGCTAAGAGTATTTCAGGTGTGTGGAATATAAATGGAAAATTAGAACTTAAATGTATAGAAATTGAATTGACTTGGAACCACATTGTATTAGTCAGTGTTCTCCAGAGTAACAGAAATTATGGAATGAATCTCTCTGTCTCTCTGTCTCTCTCTTTGTATCTCTTTCTCTCTACCTGCCTATCTATCCATGTATCATTCTATCAATATCTCTGTGGGCATATATATGTGTACATATATATGTACATACATGCACACATAGATATTCATATGGGGATTAATTGGAATGCCTTACCAGCTGCAGCTCAAAAATTGCAAGGTATGAATGGAAAGTTGATATATCTAGTAGCTGTTCAATCACATGAGTCTAAGTATCTCATTATTTTTTTTTGCTAGACTCCTAAGGAAGTAGGCTTCAATGCCAGTTAAAGAATGAATGTGCTGTCAAGGTGAGGTAAAACAGACAAAGAATTAATACATATTTTTCCTTTTTTTGTCTGTCCAGCAGAAGGTGTGATCCAGATTAAAGATGTGTATTCCAGCCTCAAATTCTGGACTAAAGGTGTGTGTCATCTAGCCTCAGGATCTGGGTCAAACACAATGTTGTCTTCTTGCCTCAAGGTCCAGATCACAATTGTGCCCTGTATTTCTGAATCATAGTTCATTGCAGATATAGTCAATTGAGTTGACAACCAAGAATAGTGATCACATTCCACAACTTATAAACTTGACACACTCATATCTCCTTATGTCATGATTAGTTTCCAAAGGAAAAACAATAACCAGGTCATAATTATGCCTAAATATAACACAACTATCCCACATAAAATCATAAATGCATTATATATTTAGCATAGTAGCAATGACCCTTGTGGACAACTCTCTAGTATCTCAAACTTACATCTGATAACTGTGAAGGCAATACAGACTCCATCTTAGGAAAAGGCCACCACTTAGACTACCTGCTGTACTCAGTTCCAGGAAGGATCTCAGGAATGTGCCATGACAATTTGAACAGATACAGGGCAATTTGCGTCTCTAGACATTCTGTCTGTGATTTATGGCCCTTGAAGCTATCTAGATAATCCTACTGAGTAGGCCAGATAATCCTGCTCAGCAAGTTGTGGTTCCCCACCAAAAAGTCCAACCCAATGGTTTCAAATGTGTTTTCATGCTCAAAATCTAGACCAATAGTTTCAAAAAATCACCTTTCCCCCATAGCTTCTACCCAATCCCAAGTTGCCAAAGCATGTAATTCCCAGATTTTGATTTTTCCCTAGGAAACCTCTCTACCTCTGGGCTTGCTGCTGCCGCCACATTTCCCTTCAGCAGGAGTGTGAAAGCACCAAATTCAATCCTAATAATACAAGGACCCTTATGTGTTTGTATCAGAAACTGGCTCCTTCCAGGTCTCTGTTTGTTTGTTTGGTTGGTTGGTTGGTTTGTTCCTTTTTGGTTTTTTGAGACAGGGTTTCTCTCTGTATAGTTTTTGTGCCTGTTCTGGATCTCACTCTGTAGAGCCTCAAACTCACTGAGATCCATCTGACTCTGCCTCCCAAGTACTGGGATCAAAGGCATGCACCACCACCACCCGGCCATGATATTCTCTTAATTGATGTTGCAACATATTATAAGTATACTAAAAGAACATACAATTATCTGTACAAAGGCATTATTAACAAAATACAACACAAACACTCATTTAGTTATAATCCTAATTTCTGTAGCTGGTCACATGAACGTAGATGGTATTTAGAACTATCTTCCTCTAGTACCCATTCTGTATTTCTTCCACCCTCTGCAAGCACTTCAGCACTTCTGGTTCTTTTCCTGGAAGAGTGACCCATATCTTCATTCCTGATGCATCTGTGCCCTTTGTCATCCTTCCTGGATTAAATTGTTGTAGTTTCCCAATGCCTTTAATCACAGGGCACAGTAGCACCAGGGGATGCCCCAAAGGATCTCCTGCACTCCAGACATAATCCTTCTTTCCTTCATTGTGGAGAGACAGTCCAATTTCTCTATGGTAATATGGATATATCGCCCATCATGATGATGTTATTCCTTTCTCAGTCTGTTGTTTTAAGGGCATTTGAAGCTCAAAATAACCAGGGGTCAGTCTGAGTTTCCAGCTCAATGAAAAGTTTGTTGGGCCTCCTGGCAAGAGCACAACAGCCTCTGAACAAAAACTTTTGGGGCAGCAAAACTTAGTGTTGCAGAAACAGGCAGCAAAACTGTCCTAGTCAGTCACTAGGGGCAATAGTGAGTGGAACTATCCCCTTTACCAGCCCTTGATTACTGGACACATGGATCCTGGCTATAGGAGAAAATGTACCATATATTGGATACTGATTCGGAGCATACACTGCCTACTGGAGAACATTGCCACAGCCCTCAAGATGCTGCCACCTAATTGGTGCTGTAAGAGTATCTTCAACAGACCAAATTTCACTCCATCTTTCTATCTGGCCAGCTTCTTCAGGATGCTGGGGAATAAGGTAAAAACAGTGGATTGTATGCATATGGGCCCACTGTAGTGCTTCTCTGGGAGTGCAGTGAGTTCCTTGGTCTGAAACAGGAATCTGGAATAACATGTCGGTGGGTAAGACATTCTGTAAATCCATTGATGGTATTTTGTGAAGCATTACATGTAGGAAAGGCAAATCCATAATCAGAATAAGTTTCTACTCCAGTAAGGACAAAGAGTTGTCCTTTCTACAGAGGAAGTGGTCCAATGTACTCAACCTGCCACAATGTTGCTGACTGGTCACCCCAGGGAATGGTGCCATATCTGGGGCTCAGTGTTGATCTTTGATGTACTGTTGTTGAATGATCTGGCACTCAGCAGCAGGTATACCCAGGACACCCTTGGTGAGTGGAAGGCCATGTTGTTGAGCCCATGCATAGTTCCCATTTGCGCCATCATGGCCACTTTGGTCATGGGCCCATTGGGCATT